GCCCAAGATGGGCCTTGACGTGAAGAAATTTGTTAAATCTTGCGGCATATGTCAGCGCACTACGGGTGGGTTGCCTAGATCCGGTTTGCTGCAATCGCTCCCAGTACCAGACACCCCCTGGAAAGATATTTCCATGGACTTTATCGTTTGCTTACCCCAGACCCCTCAGGGCTTTGATGCAATTTATACATTTGTTGACCGGCTTACAAAATGTGTCCATTTAGTCCCCACGACTTCCAAAATTGACGCTAAGGGTTCTGCTGATTTGTATCTCCAGAATGTGTTTAGATTACACGGTTTGAGTTCCACTATTGTTTGTGATCGGGACCCAAGATTTACTTCTGAATTTTTCTGGTAATTGTTTCATCAATTAGGTACCACCTTGTCGTTTAGTACTGCCAATCACCCACAGACCGATGGGCAGACTGAGAGAATGAATAGAGTAATTGAGGATGTGCTTAGAGCGTTTGTTAACCACAAACAAGATAATTGGGACAAGCTTCTGCCTCTTTGCGAATTTGCAATTAATAGTTCATATCAGTCTTCCACTTCTAGCACGCCGTTTTATCTAAATTATGGACTTAATCCCAAGTCCCCACCAGATTTCCTGGCACGGAGGGGAGGAGGGAGTGCCCCAGACTGGATCCAGGATCGGGCGGATGCCGTCAAGTTGGCAAAGGACGCCATGATTGCCGCTCAGGCTAGACAAGCTCAGTATGCAGACAGGGGAAGGGTGCCCAGCAACCTGAAGGTTGGCGACATGGTGCTGGTATACAAGGATTTCCTAACAACCGCAGAAGCCCAGGATCAGCCTTCACAGAAGCTACGCCCTAAGTGGTTCGGGTCCTACCCAATCATCAAGAAGATCGGACCCAACACCTATCAGCTGGATCTACCCAGCGCTATTCGGTGCCACCCTGTCTTCAATGTCACTGCTCTGCGCCGGTATGAGCAGAATACTATTCCCGGCAGGCGGCAGCCACCCCCGCCACCGTTCACTGACTTGCACGGTCAGACCAGATACATGGTGGAGAAGATTCTTGACGATCGCCAGCGAAGGCATCAGACTCAGTACCTTGTCAAGTGGCAAGGGTACCCAGACGACGAAGCCACCTGGGAGCCAGAAGGGAACTTGCTAGACGAGGCCGATAGGCCGATAGTTGCTCTGAGGCGTTACAGGGCGTCCAGGGCATGTCAGTGACACTATGGTTATCGCGAAATGTTACTCGCTCAAATTCAATTGCACGTGTACCTTGAGAATTCCCACTTGATCCTTGTTGTGTTAAGCAATCCATTCCCCTCCTGTTTTAGATTTTCCCCATTTCCGCTATCTTCACTCGCCTGACTGTCCTTGGTTACCTTGCACGGTGCTTCAATTAGATGAGCGTTGTTGGGTTGACACGATTTCATTTGATTATTCCCTTTCCACATATTCCTCGACTCCCTGGAGGCACCTGTGCCTCGCTTAGGAGGGAGGGATGGTGTAACAGTTCCCTGTTAGCGCTAACCTTATCTGCCCTCTAGCTCTGTATCTTGCACCTTTCCCTATCCTGTCAGCACTCGCGTTATCACCTTAGGGCACGAAGTGCCCTATATCAGTTGTGTTGCCTTGAGCAAGCATTGTCTTTTCCAAGAATACCTTCAAACGGTTACAGTGGTGGTCAGGTGGAACCACCGATTTGTTGTGGTTGTGGACAACCTGGCCATTTTGCTCTAGATTGCCCACACAACCCTTGGCGCTCGGGAAACTGAGTACGACTGGTGGTGTGGGACAACTCCCAGTCGTTCACAAGGAGCCATCAGATGAAGTTCGTATCGAGGCTGTATCCTCTGTAGTCCCTACCCTAGATATCAATGTTCAAGGCAAGTGTGTAACGGCGTTAATTGACTCTGGTTCCTGTGTTTCTATGTTGCATGAGCAAACATTTTTGTCCACGTGTGGTGATGTGCCCTTGCAAGCTGCTCCCCGTTTGTGTGCGGCTAATGGTGAGGGACTCCAGGTTCTGGGTGCTGTGGATATTGTATGCTGCATTGGAGAGCGTTCATTCTTGCATACATTTGTAGTGTCTCCTGATATCCGCCGTGATATGATATTGGGATCTGATTTCTTGTTTGACCATGGAGCATTATTGAACATTGCTCAAGGCACACTAACTTTTAATGATCTGTCAGTCCTGCTAGGCGTGAAAGCTACTAGTGTTGGTCCAGAGCCCCGTCCGGTTGTTGCGGCGGACGCTGAACCGCTATCTGACTCTTGGAGTAATGATAGTAATTCTGAGGAAGACCCAGGCACGTACTATTCCCGTGTCACTGTTTGTAGTAAATTAACTCTGCCTGCCGGCCATGTGGTGCTGGTCCCATGCAAGTCGGTGCAAGAGGCATCTGCGACTGTGGATTGTGTTGCTGTTCCACTGGACTCATTCTTGTTCAAGTTTCCAGATGTGTCTGTGACCCCCAGTGTGGTTACGGTTGGACCTGGCAGGTCCGGTGCGGTAGTTGTGTTGGAGAATCACTCTGACTACCCAGTACAAATTGCTACAGATGTTGATATTGCAGAATTATCTCCTGTACCCGATAACTTGATTGGAGAGGATGATGATCCTGCTGATTCATCTGTTGCGGATATGCAACCGTTTGTGCTATCCCCTGAACGTGCCGAGATAATCCGTACATATGTTGAGTCTCGGAATCATCTGGCAGTACCTGAAAAGAACAGACTTACAGAGCTTCTCCGTGAGAATCATGACTTGTTTCTCTTGCAGGAGGGTGATTTTGGTCCTTGTGATGTTTTGCCACATAGTAGTAGTACTGGTGATATACAGCCAGATAAGCAGCCTGCGCGCGCTTTGCAAGCTTTGCTGGATGATCTGTTGTCCCGTGGTATACTCACCGAGTCCATTAGACCCTGGGCGTCGCCCATAGTTCTCGTTCCCATGAAGGACGGATCTCTCCGGTTATGTATCGACTACCGCAAGTTGAACAGCATTGCGGAACCAGATGCGTATCCTATCCCACGTGTTAATGACATATTGGACTCACTCTCTGGCTGTTCATGGTTCACTTGCCTGGATTTAGCGTCAGGATATTGGCAGGTTCCTAAGCACGAGGACGATACGGCAAAGACTGCCGTTACGACACCATTGGGTTTGTGTGATTTCTTGGTTATGTCTGGCTGTAGAAATGGTCCAGCGACGTTCCACCGTGTAATGGAAGCGGTGCTTCATGGTTTATGTAGTGTGCCTAACCAACCAATCTGTCAAGTGTTTTTCAACAGTGTACTGAATGCCAGCTCTACCTTCACTGGACAGCTCCAGATCCTGCAGTCTGTATTTGGCCGGGTTCGTGCTGCTGGACTAAAGGTAAACTTGGAAAGATGTTCTTTTTTCCAACGAAAGGTGCTCTTCCTTGGCCATGAAGTTTCGGCTGAAGGTTTGGCTCCGGATCCCACCAGGGTTGAGGCTATTGTGAAGTGGGCCGTACCCCAGTCTGTACGAGGTGTACAGGTGTTTCTGGAGTACGCCGGGTTTTACCGCCGCTTCATCCGTGGTTTTGCTCAGCGCTCCGCTCCACTGAATGTATTAACAGGCAAGGGTGCCAGCTTTACATGGACTAAGAGTAGTGATGCGGCGTTGACGTCTATGAAGCGGTCACTGACCACAGCCTCCGTGTTGGCGTATCCCGACTTTTCTGTTTCGTCTGGCGGCTTTATTTTGGACACTGACGCAAGCAAGGTGGCCATTGGAGCTGTCCTCAGTCAAATGCAAGATGGCGAGGAACGCCCCATTGCGTTCGGCAGCTGGGTATTGGCGAAGGCAGAGAGGAATTATGATGCGTCCGACCGGGAAACGCTTGCCCTTGTCCATTTCGCGAATCAGTTCCGGCACTATTTGCTTGGTCGGAATTTCATTGCCCGCACAGATAACACTGCCCTCACCGCACTGATGTTTGTGAAGGAACCACGCGGTCGAAAAGCTCGATGTGTGGAGCAACTCGCTGAGTACACCTTCACTACTGTTCACCAGCCGGGTCGGCAGCACTTGAATGCAGATGGTCTGTCGCGTTCCTTGTTGCCGGAGGTGCAACCCTCCCATCTCGAGACTCCCACAAATCAGCCAGAGCAAGCTAGTTCCTCTGCCACAACGGCGTCTGTGGATGTCGCCACTCCTGTACTTGCTGGTCTCCCCGCAACTGAGTTGGCTGCTGCCAAAGCTGTGAATGTCGACCTCTCAGTGGTCAGTTTGCCCAGGTACAATGCGGTGAGTGGAAAATTTGTTCGCCCTCCCGAAGGTTTCTGGCACTAGTCGTACCATGCGTTTGTTCTCGGTTAATGCAGTTGGATCAGAAGGAACATTGGGTTCGCGTCTGATGCCTCACGGTGCTTACTCTGCAAGCCCTTGACCATGACCCTACTTTTTGTCCGCTGTCGTCAGAGCCCATCTTGCTCGCAATCCTGGACTGCCTGCTCGGTTTACTGATTTTGCTATGTCCTGAGTTTTTATTTTTGTATGTTTCTGTTTTCTTTCTCTATTCACGAGGGCGTGAATTTTTGGTAGGAGGAGGATAGTGTAGCATGGCTACTTTATGACACGTAATTTGTATACACATAAATAGTACACCGTAGGAATGCATGGATAGCAGTGCGCATACTCGCACTGCCTTGTCTTCTTCTTCTCCTTGTGAGACAATGAACGAATGATAACTACTTACGTAACTACAAGTATGTGCTTTGAGTGCCGAGAGTATGCGAGTTACACAAACACCAAATTAAAGCTGTGTGGACCCTGGCTAGCGCCAGACGTTACTGAAGTAATGTCTTCTGCATAGCTACGGGAATAAATACTTGGAATAGGACTATATACATTATAGCGTAACTTGTAGTCCCTGTGCTTAGACTTGCTGTGGTGTGGGGCCATGAATTGGGAACGTGAATAGGCTACCGACATGTCTCTGAGAAATGCTGTATTTCTTTCTCTTCCCTCCTTGTTTTCCTGTGTGTCCAGAGGACTTTGCCCAAGCCGTTGCAAAACTGATTGACCCAGAATACAGCAACGATTTCAAAGACGACATTCAAGACTTTATCGTGAAAAACGACCATGGCACCACTAACATACCGGATAATATGCATGGTGTTATCAGGTGGGCCGTGGACAAAGCTGGAACGCGGGAAATCACCCTGGCCGAGTTGAAGAAGATTGCGCTAGACCTGAATCCCGACAAGAAGAAAAGGATTGAGAAAACATTCCAGTGAGTTAACCAAGAATGACTGATATATGAGCGTTAGCATGCTAACGCGAGTTAGCAGCCAGCCCAGCGAGCTGGCCCAACCTGCACGCATGCGCGAGTCACGTGGGCACGCGCCCTTCAAAATCCTGTACAATGTCTCTTGCATGTCATTGCTGTTTGGACTTTCGAGCGTGCAACTTGCGGAAGAGGTGTTCCCAAACAATTTCCTTTCGTTAGACTTTCAAGCTTGCATTCTCGTATCTCTACGTTTCAAATTCAGGCTTCAATGACGCCTGTTGGTGCCTGAAACAATGTCGTTGTCTACAGTGGAACGTCGACTGTGGACTTTTAGCTTGCGCCATCACCAGGTTTCCTAAAATGAAGTACTAGTACCTCCACGCGATCTCAGCGACCCTTGTTTGTGCCTTGAAACAATGTCGTCGTCACCAACCGGCGTCCAGCCTCTCCGGATCGCCTCGCTCTACCTGGCTCCACCGCCCGCCTACTGCGAACGCAGCGACGGCCGCCACACAGCACCACCACTGCAACAGCAGGCGCGAGCCTGACGATCGAAATTCGTATCCAGAGAGGCGAGTTCGTGGACTTTGATTTTCTGTTGGAAGTAACAACGTTAGTTGTCCACTGCCGTCACCAACGCCACCCAGCTTCTCCTCGCTCTACTTGGATCCGTATCGCCGCTCGCCGCCAGCAGGCCGGACCCTACTGGGAGCCCGGTGCAGTGACGACCGCCATACGCGCATGCAGCACCAACAGCAGGTGAACCTGACTGTCCTATACGGACCCTTCTCGATCATGTCCAGAGAGGCGAGTTCGTGGACTTCGATTTCCTGCTGCCCGATACAGTTGCAGTCAGTGCAGCTCCGGCGACGTTCCAACACCATAGCCCCTCATATGTTGCTCTCCTGGCGCACTAGCATTTATTTGAATCCGAACCCAGAACTGCTTCGTAGGCTGCATGACGGTAGCACTTGAGTTGAGACCTGGACAATGTTCATGAATGGTCGGTGTTTCACTGTTCCTCACCGCGTTTCACGAGCGCCTGTGGATGTATTTGGCCACGATCATCGCGGCCAATTGCCAGTTCTTGCCACCTAGAAACTGGACGTTATCAATACTCAATCTGCGGACAACTGTTTCGTCCTTTGTGGACTCATCAGCGCAGCACAGAGGGAATTAAGCCGAACCTGATAGCAATGGAAAAAATAAAAAATCTCCAAAGCCAGGTTATCAATGTCAACTTGTGGCAACTGCGCCTCACGGTGTACTGGAACAGCACGACCCGCCTGCGAGCAGTGCAGCTCAGTGCACCCGCCAGCATTTCCGTGCGCATTTCGTCCTACTCATCAGTACAGATCCACATCACGTACCGCAACCGTATGCCGCTACTACAAGTACGGCGCTTGCACGTGTCAGCTCAGGCAGTGCTGCCTCCAGTGCCAACAGGAGCACCCCAGGGATAAGTGTAAGGCCTCATCAGTAACTGTGTAAGCACTCAGTTTCTCACTTCTCAAAATTACTGGACTCACATCCTGATCCTATGCTCCGGAGGTATGTTGCACATGGTCGTAATTGTGGTGTTGTGGTAGGTTTCATCGGCAACCACTCAACTAACTGGAATCCATTGAATTTAACACGGTCACATGCTAACCCAGATTATATTTCTGCGCAACGATCCGTTTCTTGCAGCAGGCTTGAAACAGCTGGCCCGTGTTCTTCACCCCATTTCTCGTCTCTGTGCTGTTCCGGCGTAGATGCGGTTCCTAGACGAACGGAAAGTTACACACGACACACCCTTTGTAAAGCCTGGAGGGTCGAAGTGTCAACAATTACATTCCAGCAGACTGTATCTCTCCACAATGTCAACATGACAATGCTGCAAACATGATTAGACAATTGCTCGCCCCGCTGTACCTTGCTAAGCTCAATGTTAAAAGTGCATTTTGCCGAATCCCGTCTGCCCGGAGGAGTGGCCCTTGTTGAACCGCTGGCAGGATCAATACTGTTATGAGAGCGTCCTGCCCTTTAGACTGTACTACGCTCCAGGCCAGCTATATGGAACTCTGTCGCATCCGCCAGTGAATGGATTGTGTGCGGGCAGTTGGCACTCCCACGCCTGTTGCATTACGGGGAATACCTCAATTAACGTAACTTCCTCAATGCATGCTCTGGACTTGTGTTAGCTCACCAGCAACTCGCTATTCTGCTCCGAGCGTTTACATACCTCGGTGTTTCTCTGGCCCCAGCAAAAGTGGAGGGTCCAGCTCAAGTCCTGACGTTATTGGCATCTTCCCATTACGGGAAATACCTCGACTAACATTTCTGTCTCCATGCATGCTCTAGACTTGTGTTAGCTTGCCAGCAACTCGCTACTCGGCGCCGTGCGTTTACATACCTCGGTGTTTCTCTGGCGTCAGCAAAAGTGCTTCCTCGATGTATGCTCTGGACCTGTGTTAGCTCGCCAGCAACTCGCTACTCGGCGCCGCGCGTTTACATACCTCGGTATTTCTCTGGCGTCAGCAAAAGTGGAGGGTCCAGCCCACGTCCTGACGTTTATCGGCGTCATCCTGAACACCCGCGCGCTCACATCAGTCTGCCGATGGACGAACTTGCCAAGCTTCACGACCTACGGGCCACTCTCAACACAGCTTCAACTACCCAATGTCAATTTGAGTATCTTCTGGGAAAGCTCTCGTTTACAAGATTGATAGTCCCAGGACGCACATTGCAGATTGTGGTCACTTGCCAACTGGTACCGGCAGCCGTATTACCTGATCAAGCTCTCCGAAGAGTGCCTCAAATATCTTCGCTGATGGCCTGAGCTCCTGGCATAGTAGAACGGCCGGTCCTTCTTCCTACACCCTAAGTGGACGCCGTCCCCCAACTTGCTGCTATTCACTGATGCAAGTGGTGCACTTGGCTGGTGCGCAAACAATTGCGACCGGGGATAGGGCAATGGACAGTTAATCAAGCAGACCAGCCAATCGCAAATAGTGGTTTGCAATTGTGGCAGCACCTGGGAAAGCTAGCGGCACCAGCTGCAGATGCCAATCGATCGGCTTTACAGCAACTGCGAAAATCTTGCTCATCAGTTGTGGCTATGGCCTGGCGTTATACACCGGCCACTCGTTTCGAATCAGCTGCCGGACTCGATATTCACTTATTCAGAGAGGCGGGAAGGTGGAAAGCCACGTCGGCCCGAGTAACATTCAGAGGCCACCAGCAGCCAAAGCATGGGTGGCTGTGGCAATGGCCTCAGCCCATGACATCGAGTTCTGTTAGTCAATCGTTACCGAGCTTGCACTGCTTACAAATTTCACAGGTAGCTGCACTTTGTGATCCGCTCTGGGAGAGCCGATTTATGGAATATATGTTGGACTCAGGAGAGCGTACAGCCCCTATATGATGTCCAACCCCTATATAGAGTCCATTGGTCCAAAATCCACTGTACAGAGTCCAAACTTGGAATCAACTGTGAGCTCAAAGTTTAGATGAACATCACTCCCTGTGTAGAGTCCAGCCAATTGGCTTCACACCTATATAGTGTCCATTGGTCCAAAATCAACTGTACGGAGTCCAAACTTTGAAATCAACTATAAAGGGTCTTTGTCATAGGACACTTCCTGTATAAAGTCCAGCCAATTAGGCATCCCCTATCCAGAGTTCGAAATTAGACATAGGATCTGCTGTAAGCAGTGAATATTAACCAGAAAACGGCCTCTCCCTTTAATCCTTTACATCATTCACTTCTCAAGATAAAAAATTAATTATTGAGGCGCCACTGCAGCCACTTCATTACATGAAAAACCCTACAAACACCATCCTCAAATCAAGTGGTCTCTTCGCAGACGCTGCAAATTACAATATCTCAATCATGTAGTGTTGCCAAATTATTGTGCACGCACACACACACACACACACACACACACATGCACACACCCACACAACGCCAAGAAAATACCTAGAAAAAAAACAAGAATCGAAAGATAATAATGGAGAGCCAAGGATTAATTATTCGTTTTCAAATTATTGTGCGTGCGCGCACACACACACACACACACACACACACACACACACACACACACACACACACACACAAACTTATACAACGCCAAGAAAACACCAAGAAAAGAGTAGAGACACAATACACACGCAACTCCAACAGCCATGCAAACGTCCACCCATTTACACGTAAAGTCAAGAGGGATAACAAATAGTTATACGAAACGAATACATACGTGGGCGGATGCGCGCACGTTTACATACGTGTACATGTAGTAGTGTAAGAGAGTAACATAGTGCAGTAGTCAGCATAATACTAGCACATGCTGAGACTCCAATAGCAAGCTTCACCATTGCTCATGGCCATGCAAATGTTCAGCAGCACTCAGTTCCGCAAGCTTCTGAAGATCAGCACACCTGCAACAAATAGATAGCACAAGGATACGCTTATTACCGTAATGATGCATGGGAGCACACAACTACCAAGTTCTCAACGAATGTGATGCTCAATGAAAATCCATCCACTCAAAGATTGTGAACAGGTGACGGTGGGGACAATAATCTATTAGTAATACGAGGAATAAGATCGTTTGTGCACACTCAAGACGCACAGACGCACCACCATACATGTAGTGTACACAGTGTTTCGTTTTGAAATGAGATGATTTGAACAATCTGTACAGCGTTGCCGTCAGTCAGTCTTCCCCGAGATGGAAATGCAATGATTTGTTGTCACGAGGCAGTTTCACTGACACAGTGTCATGTTTGTCACATCAAAACGGTTACTTCATGGAATACGAGTACATGTATTAGCTTGAGAAGCTTTTTCTTGTCATCGGCATACAATAAATCCTCCTCTTACTACTACTAGTACACTGGCGCTGCGTCTGTGGATCCCATCGTATTCGACATCATACTAGAGCCTAGTAGAGGAAGAGTGTCGTGGAGTTCACATAATTATCATAGGGATAAAAATACATTTTTCATGAAATAAAATAATAATTGATGATAGCTAGACGATCGTATACGATTGATACAAAGTCCGTACAGTCCTTGAGGACTATTACGAAGTGGTTGATTACTTTTAGGGCATTCATTCAAGCAACATCAAACAAACGCGATACGCTCCTTGAAAATGGAAAAAAATTCAAGCATATTACGACAGAACAGCAGACCAATCGAAACGAGTAAAAGCTTCCTTACCTCAGTCATCGTCCTGCCATGTAGCTGGACAGCCTTTTGACACGGTGGTACAGGCAGTTCTTGTCCAGACAAACAGGATATCCTTGTGGCGTCGAACGAAAGAGAGTGTCAGTGCATCTGACTCGTAAGATTGGCACTGTGCTGAACTTTTCTCGTTCTCCGCTTTCTGCTTTCATCCCTCGCTCTGATGAAACCGTTCAAACGTCTTACTGGCAGCGATGGCCAGCCAAACAGGGGATCCTTGTGGCGTCGAACGAAAGAGAGTGTCGGTGTACCTGACTCGTCAGATTTGAACTGTGCTGAACTTTTCTCGTTCTGCAATTTCTGCTTTCATCCCGCGCACTGATGAAACGTCTTCCGAGAACCACAAGACGCTTTCCAGATTTGATTTTGAACGTCTCATTATCCTCCTTGGTTACCTCGAGACAGATTACTGTCAGCAACTGCACAGCAGAACTGGCAGCCATGGCTGAAGTGAAGAAAGGAATGCGCTGCCACGAGGCAAGCAAAACTGAAAAGGTGTTTGTTCTCTTTCGGGCACAACACACAGGACGGCGTGACTGGATAAACTGGACTCCTGGACCGTGAATAGGGGACTTGTAGAAAAAGTGTACTCCTTATAGGGGATTGCGCGGCAGGATGAAGCTGATCAAAACTGAGTGGACTCCTGGACTCTGTATAGTGGATTTTGGACCAATGGACTCTATATAGGGTGCTGGACATCATATAGTGCATGGACTCTATACTGAGTCCTACATATATGCTCTCAACTGGTTATGCATCTCTATATATCTAGCATTTGGCGGCTCTATTCAGAGTCATTGGCGGCTCCATGCGGAGGCATTGGCGGCTCCATGCGGAGTCATTCGGCGGCTCCATGCGGAGTAATTGGCAGCTCCATGCGGAGTAATTCGGCGGCTCCATACGGAGTCATTCAGCGGCTCCATGCGGAGTCATTCGCCGGCTCCATGCGGAGTCATTTGCCGGCTCCATGCGGAGTCATTTGCCGGCTCCATGCGGAGTCATTCGCCAGCTCCATGCCGAGTCATTCGCTGGCTCCATGCGGAGTCATTTGCCGGCTGCATGCGGAGTCATTCGCCTGCTCCATTCGGAGTCATTTGCCGGCTCCATGCGGAGTCATTTGCCGGCTCCATGCGAAGTCATTCGCCGGCTCCATGCGGAGTCATTTGCCGGCTCCATGCGGAGTCATTTGCCGGCTCCATGCGGAGTCATTCGCCTGCTCCAAGCGGAGTCATTTGCGGGCTCAGCTGCGAGCCATCTAGCAGCTCCAAGCAGACTCACGCGCCATTATACCAGTTGCTCGAATCGGCACTCCCAGCTTAATGCAAAACTTGGTTGCTCTGTTGTGAGGTGGGGGGATGCTAACATTGTTATACGGTATTTTGGTGAGATGGTCCGGGTCGGGGCCAGGGAGAAGGGATGGGGTGATGGGGGGGGGGGGGGGGTCAACGGTGGTCAAGTTTGTTTGAGAAAGTGATGAACGGTCTGTGCTGGGATCCTGCCTGCACCTTAGCTTGTCGTCTGAGCACTGAACCGCCTTTTCGCTTCCAGAGTTATAGCCAGGTCAAAATAGTAGAGAGGAAGGGGGGAGGGGGACAGGGAAAACAGTTACCCCGTAACCGAAATTCCCATTTTCCAAATAACTGTCTTGCAACGCGAAATGCAACGTACGGAGCGAACGCCTGACTTCACCCCAGACAGATGTGCATTTATGAACCCTGTACAAATGTGGTACTGACTATCGGCTGCATTTTCATTGAATGATATGAAAAAATCGGATAATGAGGAGGGGCAGCACTTTTTCACTGAAGGGTGAGCAAACAGAGTAGGCGGGGGGGGGGGGCTGTGTCCCCCTACCCCCCCCCCCCCTTTCGCTACAACCCTGCGCTTCCGCGGGACCCCACCACCCATGATCAGCGGTCAGATGCAGCTCCTCAACAGTGGGGAGGATAGATGAGAACCACCTACCAGAGGCCAAAGCCGAAATCCCATTTGCCACAACCATGTTTTCTCAAGCCAGACCACAAGTTCCCAATTCATAGTGAGTCGCACCACGGCTGGGAAAAAACCTTCCGCTCCCAAGGATTACTTGAACTGGCAAAATTATAGATTTCGAATAGAGGGCGGGAACCTAATTTGGAGATGAAACCGTCTTTCCTTCTAAAAATTTCTCCCCCCCCCCCCCCCCCCTCTCCCCTCTGTCTTTGCCTGCCTTTTTATTGCAGAATACCATATCTGTCGGCCTGCTGGTGTGTCTGCGTGTCAATCTCTTACCCTCTCTGCTCTCTTTCGCCCTCTCTCTCTTGCGCTCTTTCTCCCTCTCTCTCTCTCTCTCTCTCTCTCTCTCTCTCTCTCTCTCTCTGTCTCTCTCTCTCCAGTTCGCAAGGCTGGGCGGGGTTGTGAGCAGGCTTTCATTTCATCTTTTCTTATTATTTCTGCTTTTCATCTCATTACAAAAATTCTGCGCTTTTTCTCCATCTGCGCATAAAATCTAGACTGACAACCTGCTTGTTAAATCATGCACCTGCTTTCAGGCATAAAAACCCTGTTGTAGAGGTATCAGTCCTCATTTGTTAGACTTACCTGTCTTTATAAATGTATCTTACTCTCTCTCTCTCTCTCTCTCTCTTTCTCTCTCTCTTGTTATTTGTCCTTGGTACAGTGTTGAAACATGGTGAGGCGTCATCTTGAAGCTGCCCTGCCCAGCGGTGGCCTCTATTCGTTCCTGGCTTAACTGTCAACTGTCTACATTATACTGGTAGTGAGTCGCTCGACAGCAGAACACCTCAAGCGTCTGAAGACCATCTTCCATCACTTGCCAGAGTATGGTCTGGTGGTCATTGTCAGCAAGTGTGTCTTCATGCAGCCCTCCGTGACATTCCTGGGTCACAATGTCAAAGCCACTGCCGGCGGTGGCATTGAGACACTGGCAGAGAAGGTCAAGGCCATGGTGGACTACCCTGCTCGAGACACTCACTCTGCTCTCTACCTCGCTTTCTTGGTTTGGTAAATCTCTACCGACGCTTTATCCCGGATTGTGCATTCATTCTTCAGCCGCTCTCGGATTTGTTAGCAGGCCCTCAATCTCCCACGAACCTTTGTCGCGAACGTAGCAATGAAATACATGAAAATATATTCGGAATAACTATTTTTTTTGCATTACATGACGATGATTAACATTAGTGTTTTCGTATATACCATGACAATGATTGTGCTCTCTTACTCTCTTACATTGTGGCTGATTCCACGCTTGGGTTAGCAGAATTCTAGTTCCCTATCTTCATTTCTAAGAATTGACTCCATTCCACTTCAAAGTAGCTTCGAAGGTAGTCTTCGTTTCTCTAGTCTTTGCATTTCGTTCTCAAACAAATAATTCTTCGTTATGTTTTCGTGCCGTGAGTAGTCTCGCGCTCTTGATTTTTTTGCTCCCGCGTGACTTTCCTTTCTGTTCTTTTTGTTATGCATGACCCTGATGACGTATTGGTATGATGTATATGTGCACGTGATCACTTGCCTACGTACGTGACTACGTACGTGTTCACTAACTACAGACAGTAGGCTAGTGCACTTTAGCGATTCGCTCTCCTTACTGCTACTTCTTCTGCGTTTCTATTTTGTCGCTGCACTAGTTCCTTTTTCCACCACTCCACGTCAATGAAAGTTGTGGTCGCCATTTTAATGCATGATCTTGTGCACAGCTGCCTGTGGATGCAGCTGCCCTGTTTCCGTTCCATTTGGATCTTGATTGAGAAAGAAACTTTCCTAATCATAAATGAAGAAACGTTGTTTGTAAATTAATAGATAGTTTCCGGGTATGATTTTCCGTGCCAAACTTCGTATGGACGCTACGGATATTTTCCAGGCGTACTTCAGACGATTTTTCGGCACGGAGAATGATTGTGAGCTCCAGTCCGCCTTCCGTCGTCACCTCACCTCATTCGGAGCCACCCACACTGTGACATCTCCGCGACCCCGCATGCAATCTCCACCATGGGTTACTGCTGAGCTCAGGTCTGCTGTAAAACGCAAGCGTGATCTATACAGTGTGTACAAAAAATATCCGACAGCAGTAAATCATGCAGCTTATAACCGACAAAGGAATGCTGTAAAGCACCTGTCTCGGCAAGCACATCGTCAATATATACGCTCCATCCAAGCATCACTAACGTCACCGAATCGACCTACACTCTTTCAGTTTGTGCGAGCACAGCGGCACACTTCCGGCCGTGTCATGCCCCAAACGATGATAGCATCCGACGGTACGGTCGCCACGTCCCCCAAGAGCATAGCTGATGTTCTGAACACTCAGTTCACCTCATTTGGGCTACCTGATGATCCTTCGTGGCGCATTCCCCCTTTGTCCCAGTCGCCTTTCATATCTGTTCCGTTCCGTACAATCACTGTCACTACGTTTCAAGTTCGGAAATATCTGAAGCGCCTGAAATGTGGAAAGTCTCCCGGCTCAGATGGGATCCCGAATGAAGTGCTGCAGTCTCTTGCACCATCAATAGCCTATCCTCTCGCCATTATTTTTAATATGTCATTTCGAACTGGTACATTCCCACAGGATTGGAAATCCGCCATCGTGACACCGCTTTACAAGAATAAAGGCTCCCGTGCTTGCCCGGCAAACTACCGCCCCATCTCTCTGCTGCGCACAGTTTCCAAACTTTGTGAGCGTATTGTATTCGATTCCCTCTACCTGCACATCGCTCCGGCTCTCTCACCAGCTCAGTCGGGATTCTGCCGTGGTGACTCAACTCAATACCAGGTGACTCGACTTGTCCAAGACATAGCGACAAAGAGGAACTGTGGGGAGCATGTGGGAATGGTGTTTTTCGACTTGGCTAAGGCATTCGACACCGTTTGGCATCGTGGCTTACTTGCCAAGTTGGAGGTCACCTTCCGGGTGGAGGATGCTGCCTTGCGTTGGATATCCTCGTATCTGTCTGCTCGTTCTCAGGCTGTTCGCTTGTCTTATTTCTTGTCTGATCCCCTCCCTGTAACGTCCGGAGTGCCCCAAGGTTCCATTCTGGGTCCTTTGTTATTCTTGCTTTACGTTAATGACCTACCTTCAGTTGTCCCCGATGTTAGTTTGTATGCGGATGACACTGGCCTTATCTGTTCTGATTCCTCCCCTGCACAATTACTCCTTACCATGCAGCATCGCATCAACAGCACTGTCATGTGGATGCAAACGTGGAAACTCCAGCCCAATTTAGACAAGACAGAAGCCATGTATATTTCTTCATCCCCTCCTGATCAACCATTATACTTCCCTGACTCGACTATGCCTATCCGTGTTGTTCCTCAGCACAAACATCTAGGTGTGATGTTTGACTGCAAACTCTCTTGGGCTGCACATGTCAACTGTGTATGCAAGCGAACCAGTTCAGCATTAGGGGTACTACAACCACATTGCACTCATTTGCCCATCCAGTGTAAACTATTATTTTATCAGTGCTATATTCTCCCTATATTCGACTATTGCGATACCGCTTGGTGTGGCCTTTCTGACACAACTCTGAACCAATTAGAAGTCCACCATAGATTTATACTTAAAATTCTTTACAACAAGGATCGATGTTTTCCTTCGGATGCCCTTTATCAACTTGCACACACTTCTCCTCTCTCCGTTCGTCATAAGCACCATCTCTGTACACTGGTTCATAAAATATTTCTTCATAAAACCCCTTCACACATGATGAAGTACAATTGGTTTTCGACAAGCTCAACCCGTAACGCGCTCATCCTGCCTCTTGTTAAGTCAGCCCAGTATCTAAAGTCCCCTTTGTTTTCCGGCTACTCTCATTGGTTATCATTACCATACGGTCTGAAAACTTGTTCTTCTATTGGTCAGTTTAAAGATCTACTATCACAACTGAACTAGACGCAATAATTATCATCGAAGAACATTCTCGAATACCTGGGTGATGCACGAATTTTGATAGTGCTCACTTCCGTTAACCCTTTGAGACCCCACTGAAAGTACGACAATTCACTCACCTTCAAAAGACATGAACTATCGCTCGTATCTCTATCAAACCTTCACCGATTTTTACAAACTGACCACCGTTGGAAAGGTATTTCCAAGACGAAGAGACTAGTACCACATTCAAGCCAGCTACCTGCACAGCCTCTGCTCTGCGTGGCCTATAATGCCACCCAAAACAGCAGCCGTGCGTGAACAGCTTCAGCAAAGTTCAAACAGCCGCCATTCCATTCTCCTTCATCGCATCGACTTCAAATAAACTACAGCGGAAAGCTCGTTTCAAGGGCAAAATTTTGGTGTGCAGCATGCTTGAGTATGTTGTACCATTCCGGGGAAATCTTCTACCAAGTGCAGCCTGAAAATTGAATTTTTCGATCTGAGTGCATTTTTCAGTTTGTCTCCGACTTCGAGTCTCACCACGGCGGCATCGTAACTCCTAGAGACTCCAGATAAATTCGAAGAGATAGACCAGGGTCTTCTCGAAACGTAGATTCTTTGTTTATGAAAATCGGTGAAGGAACACCAGAGATATAATTATTTTAGTCTCACTGTATACCAAACGATCGAATTCGATCGTTGGGGTCTCAAAGGGTTAATCGTTTTTCTTTGTAATTTTCCATTCATTTTCTGCTCTAATTCATATTTGCTTTGTTTTCCTAGCTTAGTATTGCCGTGGCTGGCTCAACGCCCTTGTCTCAGGGGATTTTGTCCCTGCATTAGCTATGCTTGTCACATGCTATGAGATTGTGTCTAATAATAATAATAATAAGAATCCATGTGGACTGGCTTTCATACGAACCATGGTACCATGGTTCGTATGAAGATTTTGCGTCATCGAATGCAGAAAGATTTTTTTGTGTACAAATTAGGCACGAAAAACATCGATTTTCCGCAGGAAGTTTTGATTTCGGTAATTTTCAAATTAAGTTAACCCTAGAACAGCCAACGGTGTCATTTGACACCGCGCGTGTCAAACTTTTGGAATAACCGAAATATGGCTAATCAGAATAAGCTCAAATATTGTGACTATTCCTAGTTTTGCTTCCTCTTTTGTTTGCCATAAACCTTTGATTTATAATTGATGAGGTACCATAACCGCAAGTATGTATACCTAGAACGACCGACCGGTGTCATTTGACACCTGCACTAAAAAAAGCCATTATTGCAGCTAGATGGAAACAATATGAACTCATATCGAAGGTGTCGGCCATATTGAGTTGCTCGTATACCAACCAGACAAAAGAAAGGTGCATGGGCAGGAAAATTGCTGAATACTCCCCATCATCCAAAACGCCCACTGTAAACTCCGCCTCCTCATGCTTCGTATCCACACCGCCAGAATTAGTAATCTCCTGTCCAAGCGCCTACGTCGCCAGACTGAAGGCGTCACTCGGATCAACGATCCAAATGCGTATGTTGTCCCTGCCACCAGGCGAGTCTCTGGTGACTGTCGGCCGCTCGTTTCTGCTGTTAAATTTTGGAACGCCCTGCCCCAAGAGTTCAAGTCCCTCGCCTGCCATAGATCATTCAAGAGACTTTTAAAGGTTTATTTTTATGGTTAGCCAGCATCTAGGCTTGGACTTGGAGTCGTGACTCAACTGTGACTCAACTGTGCTTTCTTCTTCTTTATTTTTCTTTTTTTCCCTTTCTCTTTTTTCTTTTTGAGTATTTGCAGTCTGTGTTTTCTGTGTTTTTCTCTCTTTCGTGGAGGCTTGCTTGTTGTATCCTTGGCTCTCGGCCGTTACTTTATCGCCATCATAATATAGGGCACCATTGCCCGTTTGGTCTGCGATACAAAATAAAATTTCAACAACAACAACAATACAGGACGGAATATATGATCAACATACGACCGTCGGGCGAGAATCGCGAATTTGCGGCGGGTAAACATTAGTGCACAGATAACACAAACACTCTTCAGCTAATGCCCTTTATACTGCTCATTCCCTTTCATCTTCCTGCCAATTTAGACTGTGAGCCAGGCACCAAAAATCCTGTTAGAATTTTTTTTCGTTCCGACCTTGAGCGTACCGCAATTTTTTTCCCCAGTTCGTTTCATCTACTCGACTAGATACGAATTCAGCTTGTTGTCACTTCCAAATCAGGCACGAACATGCCCAAATAGAAGGGAGAAACTACATGTACTTTGGCCAAATCAATAGCCGCCATCGACAAGAACCAAGGTCACAAGAGCTGGAGCGGACTTCTGTTGCACCACTGACCTCGCAAAAATGTACGGTGGTGCAAACCCAGCCGCATCATGACGATGTTTTTTCGTGGTTTCTATAGTATTGTGTGCAGTGCTAGTGCAGCGCAGTGCAGTGGCAGTACGAACATCATCATGTCAATCATATCAGTGTGCTAGCATGCTTGCTGCTGATCAGTCAAGCTAAACTAAAGGTTTTTGTAATCTGTTGGAGCAGAAATACATGTAGAACGTACAATGTACCTTATCTCCGGATAGCTAATAACTGTTTCGATCTTTTATACTGAAGTGCTTCAGACTATGATTAATTGTATCTTTCCGCTTGTGTTCTGTACATACAATGGGTAATGTAACTAATGTTTCAAAATAATTATTATTATAGTTCAAATAAACTACAGATCTGTATCTACCGGTATACCCCTGCGGTCCTCTAACGTTACTGGTTA